TTTGTTTCTCAGTATCCAAATTAACCCAGAAAGCTGGTTTTGCCACTGGATGGAAGCGGGGAGGGCTTGTGTTTCGCCCGTCTCCTGTTAACTACATCAGTTTGGTGTAGCGCTTAGGAGCGCGGACTGTAATCTGGGAGAACCGGGTTTGATCACCCACTGCTCCACGTGCAGCCAGCTGGGTGACCTTGGGTCGGTTACAAGTTCTCTCAGAGAGCTGTTCTCTCAAGAGCCGTCTCAGCCCCACCTACCTCACAGGGCTTCTGTTGTGGGGAGAGGAAGGAGATTGTAAACTGCTCTGAGACTCCTTTGGGTAGTGAAGGGCGGGGTGTAAATCCAATCTCTTCTCCTTCCCCTCCTGCAGTGCCGAGCATCCAAAGGACAGAAGAGAGGCCAGTGCTGGTGCGTGGACAAGAGAGGCCATCGGCTGGAAGGCCTGGAGGAAAACCCTCTCTGCCTACTGCCTAGTAGTAGTGACTGAGCCAGGCGGAGGGGACACTGCTGCGTTCCAGCAGCAGAAACTCTGGACCAAGGATCTCTCTGCTCTAACAAGAGTGTTCACTTTAAATTTATTGCGCGATTGCCATCTTGCTGGAGTCCTGGGTTCCCTGCTACAACCCTGGCGCAGTGGTCTCCTCTGGCCAACAGCCCAACAAAGGGCACAAGACCCAGGGGCTGGTATCACCCTGGCCGATGGCGGGTGGGGAGGCTTCCAAGCGCATGACTGCAGACGCTTTATCAAACAAGCTAGAGGTGGCTGGGGTGGAAAGATGCTAAGATGTCCTGGCACTTGCCGGGTGGATGCACACTTAGCACTCGGGATGCCAGTGTAGCTAGATGCTGGGTGTCGCTCTCAAGGTTGTGTTTGCACAGAAGGCAGCATTGGGCCATAAGAGATGCAGGGGAAGGGGCTGTATGCTTAAAGGGGGAGGGGATCGGGCTTCAGCAAATACCAGCCGTATTTCTGGCACGAGAGACAACTGAGAAGTAGTGGGACGGGGCAGACGTTGGTGGACTGAGATGGGGATTTTCCTTGGAGACCTCAGGAAAGAAGGGGTATAAAAGGGAAAAGGGGGTACCTGTCAAAGAGAAGGCCCTTGTGTGGTTGCCAGCACAGAGAACAGGAACAAGGTGGTAAAAAGGGGATGTGTGGTGTCAGGCTTAGTTGCTGTAGCAACACAACTCATGGCTTCAGTTGTGTGAGGGGAACTTAGACAAGCACCTTCCTGGTTCCTCACGGTCTTCCCGGCTTCACCAGCTCTCTTGAGGACATTCTGTCACGCTCCCTGAAACACACCGTAGTGACAGCCAGCTGTGGGGGTGGGAACTGTTGAGGGGAGGGCCGGAAGCACTTTCCCACTCAGGTACCAAACATTATGGGTTTCCTTTGTAACTTGCTTTAATTTAAAGTGTGTGTGTGTGAGAGAGAGAGAGAGTTAATATTTGTTTTGCTTCTGTTTCACTACCAGTGGCTTTTAATAAACCTGTTAATTCCCATCCCCTCTGCTGCTCTTGACTTTTCTTTTGTTGCCTCTACGTAGGGAGATGGCAGGGCTATTTTGGGGCAGGAACGCCCAGGAACGGAGTTCCGGCTGGTTCCCAAGTTGGCCACGCCCAGCAGGAACTCATTAGCATAATAGGCCACACCCAACAGCAGAAACTCATTAGGGTTGGCTACATTAGGGGTGTGTGGGCTAACATGCAAAGGAGTCCCTGCTACAAAAAAAGGCCCTGGGTTTTGACAACAAACAAGGTCAACAGAATAACAAGCAAAAGGTGGGTGTGGCTGGATGAGCACACTTCTGGTAACATGGGGGTGTGGCCTAATGTGCTAATGAGTTGTGCTGTCAGGGGTGTGGCCCCAATATGCTAATGAGTTCCTGCTGTTGGGTGTGGCCTATTATGCTAATGAGTTCCTGCTGGGCTTTTTCTACAAAAAGAGCCCTGGGAGATGTCTTTGCTGAAGGTGTCAAGAGTTAATCACTCTAATCATGACACTTGAGCTGATACAGGGCCTGGTTTTCAGTGAGGGATCAAATAGCTATGATTGGGACAGTACCTGCTCCACAAAGAATGCCAGAGTGGCGTAGTGGTTAAAGATGTGAAGTGGTGTTAGTTGTTAAATACAAGGAGCTGCGAGACCCGGGTTCAAATCCCCACTCTGCCTTGGAAATTTGCTGGGTGACTTTAGGCCAGGCCCACACACTCAGCCTAACCTTCCTCACAGGGTTGTTTGTTGAGGGTACAGTGGAGGAGAGGAGAATAATGTAAACTGATCTACCTCCTTGTTGTAGAAAAAAAAAATTGTATAAATGAAGTAAATAAGGTAGCTCTCCATCAGCTTCTTTGTGCTTAGCAGGGCTCCCTTCCAGATTTTTTCTTTATATCCTTCCTTTCACCCCAACAGGGACCCAAAGTGGCTTATATCTTTTCCCTTCTGTTTTATCCTCACAACCACCCTCTGAGGTAGGTTAGGCTGAGTGTGCATGACTGACTCAAGTGTACCCAGCAAGCGTCCGTGGCACAGGTGGGGATTCGAACCTGGATTTCCCAGATTCTAAGTCTGAAGCTTTACCATTAGGACACCGTGGCTCTCTGCAGCTGGGAGTGGGTTGGCTTTACCATGAAACAGTGGGAGACAAATGAGGAAAGACCATTATCCCACCACTTAACCAGTTTGGTGTAGTGGTTAAGTGTGCAGACTCTAATCTGGGAGAACCGGGTTTGATTCCCCACTCCTCCACTTGCACCTGCTGATGTGACCTTGGGTCAGTCACAAGCTCTGGCACAGCTGTCCTTGAAAAAGAGCAGTTCCTGTCAGAGCTCTCTCAGCCCCACCCACCTCACAGGGTGTCTGTTGTGGGGAGGGGAAGGGAAAGGCGTTTGTAAACCGCTCTGAGACTCCAAGTGAAGGGCAGGGTTTAAATCCAATCTCCTCTTCTTCTACTGCAAGGATAAAGTGGGAGGGGGGCCGTGTACTCTGCCCAGAGCTCCTTGAAGGAAGGGCGAGAGAAAAATGTTAAATTCCTACAACTTTGAGAGGACAGTAGCAACATCTACTGTAAGAAAACACCTTTCCATATTATTAGCTAAAAATGGAGGAGGGCTTGTGCGGTTAGATTTGGGGGGGGGGCCCTGCTGCAGTAATACAATGGGGCCTGCAGAAGAACTCTGAAAACTGGGCTGGTGGTGAGGTGCTAAAAGAAGATGCTGTAGCTGCACACCCACCGCTCTCATTGTCCTTCCATGTTCTGTATGCAAACAGAGCATAAAAGCACAAGGCTATCGTGATTTCCCACCCAAACTTAAACGAAGCCACATAATCCTGGCCCTACAAGTGCAGACTGCTCGGGGAAACAGGGTGTGTATAACTGGGGCCCCTCCTACCCAGGACAGGTTGGGTAGAGAAAAAGCGAACGCTGCTGCGGCTACTTGGTGAATCTGATTTATTATGGAAGCCAAGGAAACTGTCTTTTCCTGTATTTTGAAGCGCCCCTGTGATCTCACAGAACTGGGCTACTCAGGTGCAAATGAGGTGTCCTCTACGGAAGCGAGCTAAGGTTGCTCTGTCTTCCACAATTCTGCCATGAATACAAAGACTTAATAACAGGCATGATGCAGCATGGTATCTTAAGCCTTCTTCAGAAAGCAAGTTTCTGGCCCCTAAGGCTGCCAAATGACGTGTGTGTGAACATAGGCTGACACTGCAGCGATGGTGGTTCGTGTGATGGAGCTTCAGGGCCGTGTCATAGCTCATTATTAGAAATGGTCATACAAGCCTGTTTAAATTGACGATACACACCATAAATTCAGCTTTTCTTGACATGGACAACTGTACTAGGGTCCTTGGCAAGCTCACTAGGAAACGGAATACCCTAAAACCATGTCTCATGTGCTAAAATCATGCATGCCGTTTGCTCTTGAATACCCGCGCTGTGCTGCTAGCAGCAGCCATTTCTGTGTGTGCAAGCTAGGAGTTCCTTAATATTCAGATCGTTTCTAAGAGATTTGAGAAAAATCCTGGCATCTCTCTCCCTGACTCCACACCATCATTCAAATTATTGAAGACAATAGCTGTAATCTTCAAAGTTACAGCTGTGCTGTCAACGAAACTTCCCCGTCAGCCCTACGGAGTGGTGTTGGCGTATGCAGTGCTCATCAGCCGCCCACCTCCATGTCACAGTAGGAGCCAGTTGGATGCCTCAGAGTGATAGCTGAGAGATTATTAGGCGACAGGGGACTAAAGTTACCAACTGGTAAAAGGAGGGCGATTCTTAAAAGAGCACAGGCCATCAAGCTCTGTCAACAGTCCTCCTGAGACCAACACTGCCTGTCCAGATGGAAACTGTGGAATGGCTTGCTTTTTATGTTGTACACTGTAAGGTATTTATGACCCCCCCACACACACACTTGGACTCAGACTGGAAGATCTGCCACCAGGGCAAGGCAGCATGCAAAGGGTGAAGGAGCTTGCTTTGAAATCTGTTGTTGCTGCTGCCATGTTTATGTCAGTAAGGGATAGAAGGCAGGGCTGATTCATTTCCCACTTCTTACATATGGACCTCTCTTGCTAGCCCTGCGCCTCCCTCATCAAGCAGCCTTCCATGTTGGGAGGGGCCATGGCTTAGTGACGGAGCATCTGCTTGGCCTGCAGAAGGTCCCGGCGGCTTCAATCCCCGCCATCTCCAGTCACAAGGATCAAGTAGCAGGTGACGTCTCCCCGCGATCCTAGGGAGGTGCTGTCAGTCAGGGTAGACAATTCGATGGAGCCATTATCTTGATTCTGTATAAGGCAGCTTCCTGTGTGGTTTGTAATGTGTTCACGACTAACCTTCAAATAAAATGATTCTCAGTGCCATCAGCAAGCTGTGTTTAAAGCCAACGCTGGAAGAAGGAAGGCTACATTATGCTGCCTGAAGTCTGTTCCTACTGATCCTATCAAATGTGCTCAATTCTGCAGAGTTCTCGTTTTGGTAGAATGCAATGAAGGCCAGGAACAGAGTATGTTAGTTATTAGTAATCATTTCACCCCTAACTGACTCTTGAATTAGTCACTGGAAGAGCAGAAAGAAAAAGCAACAAGGCCAATGAGCCTACAGCCCTGCCATTTGCTGACCCTTCTTCAGGAACTAGTTTGGGGGATACTGTCTTGATTTTGGCAAGAACAGGGCTTAGGAATGGTCAAACCTTTACGCAAAACTAGTTAACCCAAACCTTACAATGGATACACCAAGCCTAAAACATTGATTCCAATGTATCCCAACGATCTATTTAGTAGACATGACAGTGCTTTACCATCTTTTCAAGGAAACAGCATACCTAATCAACTGAGTATAAAACCCACAAATTCTCTGTAAGCAGTTCAGCCACAATTGCTAGAGGGAAAAAACCTGCAGGATTTTTAATGATCACATGAAGCTGCCTTTTATCAAAACCAGATAACTAGTCCATCCAGGCCAATCTGCATGGATAGGCAACAGCTCCCCAAGATCCCAAGCAAAGGTTAGCCTCACTACCTGACACCCTTTAAGCTGGACAGGCCAAAGTTTGAACCTAGGACTTTCAGTGCTGAGGTAAGCAACCTGCCCAAACAGATTGCCAGCATTTACATTGTCAAACATTAAAGCTTATTGCTCAGACTGGCCCGTTCCCCTTGGGCCTGCTATTATGAAGAGAATCACAGGCCAAGATCACATGCTTGTATTCCAGACATGGAGCAGCACGAAATATGGGCGTAGCAGCTCCCAGCTTGCCTCCCAGCCAAATGTGTGTGTGTGAGAGAGACTGGAGTTGGGTTCACTCCGTGCACGGGTGAATGGACCATCGGCAAATGTCACCCCAACCATGGTGCTTTTCAGTAATCTGTGCATATCAGCTGAAGCATGTATATATGTGTAAACAGCTCTGTGGTCATGTAACAGCACCGATCACTAGGTGGGAGGGGGGCGGAGTAGAGTTCCCACTTACAAGAACCAATCTCACAGCTCTCACCATGATAACATTACAGCTACTCTGAGGTATCAAGAGGCGAGTGGGTTTTGAGAGAAACACAAAGCAGAGATTCTTCACAGCCAAGAGAGATTTCCAGCACCGAGAAGGAGAGCTGGTATGTCCACCACCACCACCACCAGTCGAAATGTCACAAGGAGCCTCTTCCTACAAGGAGGATTTTCCTCTGCGAAACATCACTTTATTTGTAAAAATCTCAAGTCTTTTACAACTCAAAGTGTTTCAATGGTATATCAGTACATTCAATGATTAAAAAAATATTCTTTTAGAAGACTGACCTATCTCATTGAAGAAATAAAAATTAGAGACACACATACACATTTTTAAAAAACCAGATATGCAAGCAGTCTGACCTACGGTTGGGAGACAACCTCTTTTCTCTTCCTCTCCGCCCCCTTTTATGGCTTATATCCCACAGGGAATAAGATACACTGCACAAATGAAGTATTTTGCCCTTCCCACAAAACGTACGTAAGTGATCTGAGTG